TGGGGGTTAATTAATTTGACTGCGGAATATTTTATGCTAGTTTGGCCAATTGACGTGTATTTTGATGATTATTCACGGTTTTTAAACTAAATATGTGGTTGGTTGGTTGGTATAAGTAACTTGGCGAACTGGTAGCCAACAATTTTGAAGTATGTTTCGTGGTAAAAACCCATAATGAAAACTTTTAACTAAATATTCACAGGTCACTCAATAGTCATAATGAAATATTTCTTAGCCAATCTCCGGAGAAGAAGACAGAAACAGAAATTTATTACTATTGCGAGTACTACCAAACTATAATATACACTGTATATTATATACACAAGATATTATACAGGGTGTCCATGAAGTCCCTTTTCAATTTTGTTCTGAAGTCAGTTTTTAATATATGTTAACCAGGTTTTTTTGTTTTTTAATCAGTAATTGTTTAGGTATTTTTACTTCATTTAATACAACTGTGAGGGCCAAAACAATATGGTATCGGAAAATCCCTTTGCAACTTTAAACAATTTTAAGACTCTACGGACACTCTATATATGTATTAACTCATGTCCTGTTCACATCACTAATTCAATTCCAGATAAAAGAGTTTCGTTGTTTGTTGATATGTCTCTTAAATGACGATATACCTTTACTTAATTAGGCGGTTGTTTTTTCCCACACACGACCCTTGACCATTCAATTGAAACTGTTATTTTCAATACTGCTTTCATACAATGAGTAATCATGACCCGCGAGACTAATCAACACTATCGTTTGATCCAGTATTCCCAAGTAAGTGAGAATATTGATAATATATTTACACTGAGCCGGCGTCTGATATCCCTTCGGGACTGTAATTAAATCGCCCAATTAAATCCACATGTGTATGATTGTTGGATAAAGATTTTCGGTTGCAACTTTTAAGAGCGCAGGCTAAAGAGATATGACGAGTGTTCTCCCACAGCTTTTTTATGGAATGATATATATAAAATTGAAGTTACTTTAATAGTGTCTTTTCCCTTTGTTCAAGGTAATGAACAGTAAAGACAATATCGTTTCTATTAAAAATTTTCATTTTATCCTGATCTCTACCCGAACTGGAACCCGTGCAACCCGCCTTGCATAGGGTCACACAACAGTTCGGTGGATCACGATTCACGACTCAAACCTATGCCACTTATCGCTCAGTTGCTCGGTCAAATTTTCTAATCATTCCTTACCTCAATTGGATGATTACTAGTCTGTTTTTTTTATATTGTGGAGGGGGTGTTTTTTCCAATCTCACCTTTTCGCGTTAGTGGCGCGGGCTTTTGTACAAAAGATCTCGGTTTCTTACATAATGCATTGTCTCACTTAGAACTAGTTTGATATGTTGCATCGTATACATCAGGGGTCACCAAACTACGGCTCGCGGGCCGGATCCTGCCCGTGGCGTCATTTTATCCGACCCGCAATAACACGCAAAAAAGGCTAAACTTTTTTGATAAGAAATGTAATAAATATGAAAAAATAACACATGTCAATCACTAATATTGAGACTATTTCGGGATTTTATTCTGGCCACGGTCATTGACACCGCCGAAAGATTGTGGCAAATAAACGCTGGAGTTGTGCATGATAGTTTGATTTGCACTACGAATAAAAGGGGGGAGGCGGAATTTTTAAAAGCGTCAAAAGCTGAGAAATGTATGCGCTAATGAAAAAATTAAATACCAGATATGTTGTTTATTTTATCTAAATTATGTCAAAATTTCATGGAATTCCAAGCTACAGCAGGCAGTGCGTAGTCGTTTTTAGCAGTAGCAGTATTCCAACACGGCGTAACAGTACTTAGCAGACGTGAAGCGTACATTATTTTGACGAGAAATAGCCGATTTTGTAACATTCCTAATTCATGACAGCAACGTTTTGATAACAGCTAAACTCAGGATAGTTGTCTAGATATAGAAATCTTGTATATTTGTTTTCCTAGGATGTTTTTGATCTATATTCTGCGATATAGATAGAATTAAATATTCAAGTCTTCAGAAATGTAGAATATATATTGTTAAATAAATTGGATGAATTTCCCAACTTTTGTGAATTTATTTTTTGCATTGACAAAAATATTCATCCGGCCCGTTTCAACCCAGTTTGAGTCATATCCGGCCCGCGGTCAAAAAAGTTTGGTGACCCCTGGTATACATCAATATAATGTCACGTTATCACATTGTCATCAGCATAATACAAGTCCAAACGGGCAGGGTATTTAAATGTGTCTGCAATAGGCCTGCAGACTTAGTCCTTAGGGAGTTATTATATTAAAATTACAAATGGATGCGAGTGTCGCCCTATACTATAAGAGCAAAATGGTAAATATTGTCAAAAAAATTAAGGTGTATCAACCTGCAACGCACGGTAACAATTTGCTCTTTAGTCAATGGATCACTTGATAAGAAATGTGCTGCACTTCTTATAGCATGGCGTATTACAGGCACGGCGTTCTACCAGGGTTGTGGACTTAGAATTGGCATATTATTTTCACTCGAGTCGAAGTTGTAACTTCAAACTCCTCGGAGTTGGGGTTCGGGGTGAAAATTCTGGATTTCCGGAGTCGGGATTCCTGGATTCAGACTTTCAGTTCCAATGGTTATCAAAGAAGTGAATATTCTTTATTAAACTAAAACAGTATTAGGTCTGGCATATGTTCAGGTGCTTGTGAATAAATTTCGATTTCTCGGAGTCGATTGTAAATTTTCCTTGACTTTGCAAGACCTGCTTTCAATCTTATAAAACAGTTATATTTTGAATGATATTTTCTATTTCTTCGAGTTTCAAACGCCCTTCCAAGGTATGTTTATACAATGAACACTCAGTATGATACGGCTTTACTGAATTGCAAATCCGCTTCGTATTATACCCGAGGGAATATTAAATCAACAGACATAATTATCTTTGACCTCACACTCGATTGATATTGAATCTGAAAGTTGGCAAGGATTATGATCGACGACCAAAAGAACGCTAGGCATAATCTGTTACTTTTCAGTTGACATGATAACAATTTTAAGATAGTAAAGTTTCTTGATATAAAATTGTTCAATCTACGATTATCTTGTACAGAAATGTGTAACTTACCGGAGTGTCCTATGTTATCTTTGTAAACCTACCTACACACAGGTTGACAAACTGGATAACGAAGTAAATAATAATCTATACAAATAATCCTATTTATATACTATTATTAATATATATAAAATCCAATAAATTGGGATGTATTATTTAAGCGTAAATCCGATTAAAGTCGCCAAATTTCGGAAGAATCCGAATTTGTTTTACTATAATATATATAATCACATTACTCTACGTATAGGCTACAGTGGCAATAATACTCTCTATTCCTTTGACCCAATATTCGCATTTCCACGCTGCATTGCTTCACTCAGGTGTTTGAGCACTCGCACATGTTCAACAACGTAATTTACCTCTAAATCCCTGACCATTCACAATTTGAATTTTGTTTCCAACATTTGACTGCCGATGACTGGTACAGTACGCTCCCAAACTTTTCATATTTGTGGTGGGTGGGGTGGATTCAAAGTTAGGGGGTGATACATATTCTGTTATTAGCGATAAAACTACTTATAACCTATAGGTAAGTGTTACGTATTTGAATGACCATTTTGCACTGGTAGGCTATATAACATATACGCCACTTTTTGGATATTCAAATAGCCTACAATTATATTTTAGAGGGGTGTTCACCCACTATGATATGAGGAGGGGGTAACTGAACTGGTATTTATACATTTGGATATAAGAAAAGGTATGCTTCATAATCGCTCATCAAAATTGAACGTAACTCACTTGATTTCTATGCCATGGACACGGTTACAATCCGCAGGTAGTAACTTCTTTGATCTATGGTTTTCCGGCTTCACATTACTGTATTATCTGAGTAAACACAAGACCGACAAACGGTACAGAAGAGGAAATAATGAAAAATATACATAATCCTATCACAGTAATAAACTCATTAGATTGGGGTATCTTATTTTAATGCTAATCCAATTGAAGATCGCGGCAAACTTTAGAATTTTACGAGTTGAAAGATTTTTTTTCATCACCCGACATCAGAAGTACGCAAACACCTAGTTGGCGTAAACCGGATATTTTCATTTGATCAATTATTCAAATAAAGTTGGCAAGGGAGAACGTCCTTTTATGAAGATCTAAAAAACAAAAGGATTCCACAGCAATTTTCGCGCACTATAGAATTTCACACTTACTTTTACAAAATTAAACCCCGAAAAAGTGGAAAGTGTAACACCCTTCTTCAGTGTGAATATTTGGTTATGAGCAACCAAAGCTGCTTGAATCCAGTTCGTTACAGCTAAACTTGCGAATACTTACAAACAGAGTTGAAGCCAGAGTTTGATATGTCTCCACTGTAGTCGTATTTTCAAAGTAAAACTCTGGAGTCATAGTTCATAAATCCCGAAGTCGAAATTTTACATTTCCAATGGTGTTAAAGAACAAGCATTCTAAACATTTCAATAGTGTATGAGACTTTCGGTAGCTTACTCCCCTGCACAATCAACAATTGAACCCGTATTTAGCACGAATATCATGCTTGTCAATATGGGCGGTATCAAGGGGTGTCGACTCGCCTTCTCTGTAATAAAACTGAAACTTTCAGAATGGATTCGAATATTATTTCTGAATCTTAGGTTATTGGAAGCTATGTAGATATTTTTATACTGTAATGAATTCCCAGACGCATAAATTATTGAAAATAGAATATATCAATCAGCCAGTTCGCCGAAACATATTACAATAACAACTCACTCAAAAGTGTGGTATGACGGAAATGCATTTTAAAAATATGTCTCCGATAAAATAAAATTGATGGATTCAAAATAACAATATGGCGGCAATTCGAATTGTCGTATGAACCAATCCGAATAATTTACTATTCGAATCGAAATGCCCAGCCCTAGTAGTTTCCTTACCCTGACCAAACCTAGAAAAAAAATCAATTTTCAAATATCGAATTTATTACGATGAAAAAGTACTGATTGATAAAATTACTAAAAATCTACAGATTTCGTGTTAAAAGACGCTGATAAGCAAAAGTGTTGTAAGAGAAATCAAATTGTTGAAAATGACAATGAAATGGGACGGCGAGATGAGTTAATATAATAAACAAGAGAAAAATGATCGGATGTACGAACACGAAAGTTAAATGACTAATACCGCCACCACACTCTGTTTGATATGCTACGGGTACTGCTAAATACGACACTTTCTAGATATTCAAATACAATTATATTCATGTTAGTAATTGAAGTGTGGCGTTAAAGGGGAGATTAATTTTGAATGTGTGGGTTCATCCCCTACCCCTGGGAGTCCAAGACGAATTTAGTTGGATTGGAGTGTTAAAAGCTGGCATGGGTTCTTGTCGCGTTTGATTGACCATTTTTTGTGAATGAAACAAATAGACACATTCGACTGATTTGCTGAACCTTATTTAAGTGAACACATTATTTCAATGTTTTCTGTTTGAGTTTCAATTTGTTACGCCTATATAAAACATCGGCTTTAAAATAGCAGCGAAAAGAATGAAATTCCGAAATAGGAAAAATAGATTGCAAAGTAAGAATACGCGAAGATATATACATAGCAATTATTGGGGGCAGGGACATAGCCAGAAATTTTATTTTCGAAGGGGTGGGGGGTGTCTGAAGTTTCAAATTGCCAAGTTAGATTGTGACGGCTAGCGGGCCAGGAAAAGGTGGGTTAAAAAGGGTTTTAGCCACTAAAAATTGCTATGTATGACACGGGGGCAGGGGGTCCTAATTGGGGGTACAAATGAACAATAAATTACTCCTCCAATTAATTTTTTCATTGAGTTTCTGGGGATTATTGAACATTGTGTGATAGTCTTATGGTCCATATTATTGATTTGAAAACCCCAAAGTGGCTTACAAAGTAAATCCCATAGTTTATTAACGATATGCGGAGGCCACACAAATTGGGATGTCATATTATGCCATTCATATTCCTAATTATTGTAAACCAAGGTCATGATTATTACAAAGATGACTAAAGAGAACAACAATATGTGGCTTGATTTACTGGAGTTGGGAAAACTCAAATTGCCTTAAATAAAAGCATGAAGATGACCAATAATGCAACAAATTCTACCAGACGATTATTTTACTGGAGTAGAAAAAATTCATAATGCCTTGATAAAAGCATGAAGGTATATACGACAATAAAAGTGAATGATAAACAACATCTGGGATGGATTTTCACACATAAAATAAGCAATTATAACTGCAGATAGCAATGGTACCTATATAATGTCACAGTACATATATAAATTAGAAAAATATTATTCAATAAAGGCACCAATTTGCTAGTACAAATACCTTACAGAATGCAAAAAATAGCACCGTCTCAAAAATACAGAAATTGAAAATGACAAATTGCCAGCACTCAGAAAATACAATAAACATTGGAAAAAATAAAAAATAAATTGATATTAATAATAGTTTAATTATTAATAATAATTTTATTTAACTTAAGATACCTAACATTGTTGGTATTTCATACACATGGGCGAATACTCTGAATTGGTTACCGTAATTATAAAATTTATAACAATTATATCCTTGACATAATTTAACTTCAACTAAATTCCTTAAACATTGCTAATTATAGTAGGTACACATACAACAAACTTCAAAATAATTCATGCCACAAAATCTTTGAGAGCAATGAAAGTATTTTTGAAAATTTAAAATTATGAATTGCCTAATCAAAATATAATATGAAGGTATTTGAAAAGACAAAAAATAACAGTTATAGAAACATATTAATTCATGATTTATCAATAGCATTCATAATGAATGAATACCAGAATTTGGTTCTAAATATTTTTATGAAATTTACACAACCAATGCACAATGGGTTACATTCAATAACAAATCAATAAACTGTTTCCTTTCCCAACATCTTGGAATTTCTTATCAGATAAATCACATTCCAGGAATCAGACAATAAAATGTCTGCAATGCTTCAACCACAATAGGGATGTTATCTGACTTGAATAGACAGTAGCAATGACATCAGACATTACACAGGAAATCAATCTTATGTTATACAGACAAAAACACTTCAGTAAAAGATTAGCAGAAGATTAAAAGTGAGCTGAATGGTCACAGATTCTTCCTGGTTTAATTTGTAATAGCTATAGGAGCCCATATTTTTTCATGCTTAATTAAACCAACTAGTGTCTACAGAAAATGATGGCCAACAAATTTAATAAAAATGAAATCATTGAATTTTATGAAATTAAGGCAATGCCCACCGCATCACTAAGGGTTTAATTATGGTAATACATGTTTAGGCAATGCCAAACTGAGAATGTTTCTCCGCTTTCAAAAATAGTTGCTCGTTGCATACCTGCGCTGCTTGTGATTTGGAATAGCTACAAGAGCCCATGTTTTTTCATGCTTAATTGAACCAACTAGATTCTACAGAAATTGATGGCCAGAGATGAAATCTGTGAATTATATGGAATTAGGACAATGCCCCCCTCCTCACTAAGGATATACATAGTGCCCCTAAAGTCTCGTAACAATTTTAATTTTGTTATGAAGTCAGTTCTCAATATATTTTAATAATCGGGTTTGTTGTTTTTTAATCAGTAATTGTTCAAGAATTTTTACTACATTTAATACATCTGTGAGGGCCAATACAATATATGGTATCGATAAATTTCCTTTGCAATTTTGAAAAAAAGACTTCATGGACGCCCTATAATACAGGTTTAGGTAATGCTGAACAGGAAAGATTCTTGCTCCTTCAAAAATATGCCTGTTGCATATCAGTGCTGCTTATATACAGCATAAACTAAATAATAATTCCCTATTAACCAAGAGATGAGTATTATGTCAAATAATCTATCAAATTAGTAGAGCGATAATTGTAAGACTTAAACATGACTGATATTTTGAAATACAGTATTGATAACACCCCAAACTCAACCACATGAATTTAAAAATCAGCAAAAATAAAAGAAACTATCCAAGTTCAAGGACTTTTATGAGTAAGCTGCCTACTTTTCTATCCCAAGTAAATTTGGAACAATCTAACACACAACTCAAAGGCGTAAAACTGAAAAAAAAGCTGTGTTGAGAAAATGGAGAAAAAGCATATTTTGAATTATTAAATTTCTGCGACATTTTATTGAAATACTGTGGTGAATATACCTAGCTCCAAATTAAAGTTAGGACCAGCTTAGGGCACTTACTTTCTTTGTAATATTTTCAAGTAATTATTTACAGCCTGAACTTCGGCAATGCAGAAGTGTGTGTACAAGTATGGAGGTAACTAATTTTGTTCGCCTACTTTACATCAAGTTGTGTAAAGGGACTGAAACCTATGGGCAGGGAGTATATTCACTTGGCTATCCCAGATAGTCCCAGAACTTGTGTAAATAGAACCCTAAATTGGAATAAAATTATGGCTTAACCCTAACCTGGTACACACACTACGGGAGTACCTGAATTTCAGCATTTACCAGTTTATCTTGAAAAGTATTCATTATTCAGGGCGATACATCAATCTATTTCCAATTACAACCTAACTACTATAATGGGACCTCTAACAACAGCCTAAACCACTTATTATTATAGATTAGACACACCTTAGTACAACAAGGTATTACAATGTCTAGTGTGTTTTGAAAATTCTCCGAATTCCTTACCGCAGGTCAACCATAAATATTGTAAACAGTTCAATTCAAATCCAAAATAGCTGACAAATTTACCTCAAAATAATTAAACCGCCAGGTCGGAATTTGATAGAATATTAAGGATAGTGCACTCCGGAAGTGTGTGTACCAATATGAATGGAGGTAACTGATTTTGTTCGCCTACTTTACAACAAGTTGTGTGACTAAAACTTATGGGCAGGGGAATATTCACTTGGCTAACACAGACAGTCCCTGAACTCGAAGAAAAATCGGAATAAAATTCTGGCCTAACTCTAACATGACACACATACTACGCGAGTACCAAAGATAGGACTACAACTAATATTTAGATTTGACTTGTCTTATTTGGTGTTCATACTGGCCTGTTATCTGATATAATTTTATTTTGAATATTCCAATGTCTAACAGACTCACGAAAAATGGATGTGGTAAAAATTTCAAGATGAATGTGTTGAGAAGGAATGCAAGTAATATCCACTTTTGATCAGTTTTATTGGCCAGAGAACAGGTGTATAATATATTCAATATAATGTCCGAAAGGCTCATGCTGAATGCATGTCATTTTATTTTTGAGATACGTTATTATGTTTGTTTGAGGAAGTCTAACTTTGGTCAAATGAAACGTTACAGAAATATATTTGTGTTAGTGTTCTGCAAGACTCTTATTAAATCCCTCAAAATAGCAAATTTTGGTTTTTGAAATAATATATAAATATTGTTGTGGTGTAAGTTTAAAAGTATAGTTCTTAGCATGGAACAAATCAGTTTCTGTAGTATAGTTTTATTCTTAATCTCCAAACTGCAAAAATCCTCTAATTTAGATTTTAATCAAATGATAATTTTACAAACATGGAATGAGCATCGCTTATTAACCATCTTTGCCACACAACAATAGGTCAAATGGCAATTCCTAAGAGTTTTCTAACGTTCCTTGGGGAGAGAAGATTTCATGGTGCAAACTGTGAATATGAGAGCTTTAAAGGTCTGCCCATGGAGACCATATGTTATTAGATTACAGTGCGAGATATCTCACAAAAACCAGGTCAAATCAGTTCAAATGTTTGCAGTCACACCTTTAAATCTAACACATTTACCTTAGAAATCAAAATTCAAAGCTTTGGGAATTTTCTGGTATTAAAGTGATTTCAATCAAATCCAAATCGAGAACTGTTTTGCACAAATATATTACATTCAACAGAAGGCATTTAAACTATTCCAAATACTTGACAAATTATTCTAAAATTGTTTTTTTTGAGTTGATATTAGCACATTATTTTAACTTTTTCATAGGCTTATCATGCCATTTGCTCCAAACAAGGCCATGTACGATATCTGACATCTACGGAATATGTGGAGAGCTACTATTTATTGAAAGGATCCAAAGCTATTTGGTTCGGCATTACTTAAATTTTTGACAAAAGTTGACCAAGCCCAATTTATTTTCTGACCAATCGACCATTATGATTACGCAATATTTATAAACTATCCAAACCCCTCAAGGCATAATTTCATAAAGGTCATTGGAGTATTAAGCTTGTAAAACTATTTTAAAAATAAAAGTCACATAAATTTGTTGGACATGTAGAACATTCAAGTGAGGTTGGATTTGTTGGGACACTCTGTGTTTAATGTCAAAATTACTATTTTGGAATGTATTCAAAACAGTAAAATATTCAGTTTTGAACATCCTTGCTACCACATAAAGTCAAATTTAATGATAATATACTTAAATAAAATTCGACTAAATGTTATTTTCTCATATCCATGACTTACATCAGATAGGGGAGATTTATCAAAATTAGAATGTCATCCGACACCAATCTATAAAGAAACATTAGCAGTTTAAACCTCAAATATGTAAAGCATTGCCGGTTTTTAATCTTGCAAGAAGCCTTTCAAGCAAACAAAACCTAATGAAGCTCATCATTCAAAATCCCTAAAATCAAAGCCTAGCGAATATCCTGGTTGAATTACAATGCAATTCATCATAAGCAATTGCGAGTCGATTTTGGGTTCAGCTCATTTATAGAGCAGTTATTTTATGCCCATAAAAAGTTCTGAAACTCTTTAATAATATTTGTATATTTGATATTGAAATTTAAATAAATCTTGTCGAAACTGAGCTTTAAAATGACGGAAAGAAATAGGCCTATCCGAAATACTTATTAAGGAATTAAAATAAATTTAGATTGTTGAAATATTTAGATTAAAATAGATTCAAATGGGAATTTAAAATTTTAATTTGTGAAAATTATTATTTTAGTGGGGAAATGCATGAATTTTAAATAGGGCAGTTATATTAATTTGTAAAATCTTATGGAGTAAATTTTATGATCTTATGCTTCGAAAGTAATCTAACATCGAAATTCTACAATAGAGTATAGTATTACCATAATTCAATATGTCACTACAATGTAACAGAACTTATTTACATAAGCAATGTATATCACCACCACACCATATGCTATCAAAATAGAATTCAGACATATAGGCTGCCTCTCCTTAACCACAATTGCCAATACCGAGAGAATTTGAATTTATAAAAACAACAGATAAGAAACTGATGCCATATGTTGCTACTAAGAAATTGTAAAAGATGACATGATACAAAACCTTTGAAAGCAGGCTAAATTTTAATAACATAGAAAATCTTCAAAAACCAATAAAATCAGGGATAAAATTATTAAATTAGTAAACCAGGCTTTGAAAAAAAGCTTACATGTAGGATGTACCAACCTAAATTTTATATGATTTTTCTTTTTATAAAAACAAAGACCTCAGTAAGCCAATACTCCTTGAAAATGAAACCAGAAATACCAGGCTCATAGCAATGCGAGCTGAATTGAATAATGAAATACATTTAAAATAGTTGAATTCACTGTAAGTACTTGATTTTGAACAATAGGGCATCTCACAGCCAGATAAAACTTGACTTGGAATTTACAAAATAATGAACTATCCAAACATAGCCTACTATGTCCTTTACTATGAAATGAGTTGTGAAAATTACTCAGGTCCTAAACTTAATCTAAAATAAAACATTAACATATTTCAGACTCAAAAAGACTTTTGGAATGTTCTAAATTAGATTATGTTCAACTTATTCTCATATATCAATATTGCAAATACCAGTACATTTCTTGTCTTCACTTTCAAACAGTTATATATATAGCGGATTAGCTTGGCTTAAATTGAGTAAATTGACAGATTCTTATAGTATAGCCACCAAGTTTGGGGTCTAGTGGTGTGCTTAGGTTCAAAATAATTTGATTTTACATTAAAATGCCCAAAAGAAAAAATTACAACATTGGAAAGTGCTTAAGTATCTGAAGTACCAGTATCTAAAAGAATATCAAAAGCTTGCAACGAAAATTAATAAACAAATAACTTGAAATATACCTATAATATGATTTCATTATATCTCATATAATTATGGAAGAAAATCATGGTATTATGTATGACTCAGTGCCCAGTGGGAAGCCTATAGTAATGAGATGAACTCAAATTCCTTCCGGGAAGAAAATGTATCGTACAAAGAAAATTACAAAGCTCGTGACAAATAGAAACATCATTTTCATTCCAATAGTGTTAATAAAATGGACTGAATGTGAAATATTTCCAGTATTGGATGAGTCACCTATTTACAGTTTGAACAACTGTTTTAAAATTTCATGAAGTCTTATTTGCGGCGATGGTCTAGCGCTGAAACGACAACTGCGATGATCTAATGCAATTTGATAAATAATAAATGTGTTTGACAATTCTATGGGTTGGGTTTCTTTGTCCGTTGGATTGTTATAATTTAGATTGATTTCAGGCCCAATGAATGAGATGCTGAAAGAGAACCATATCGCCGCAGTAAAATCAAAACAGCTTGTCACATTTTTCAGAAATTAGAACCAAAGTATTAAAAAAGTGCTATTTTATTAAAATGTTGAAATGTAACATATGTAAGCTGATTTAGTTGTATTGATATTGAATGAACCATAAATAGAATTGAATTAATTTCAATACCTATTTGTATACATGACGTGACTTTAAAAAAGTTATTTCATTGCTTTCCTCAACTAGGGAGAATATAGACACAACAGAAAAAAACCATGCACCGAATGTAAATTGACAAAAATAATCTTGATAAAATCATTCAATTATGTTTGAAATAAAAAATATAAAACTGAAATGAAGGTTGTGAAATTAGCACCACATGTTCCATAAAAATAAGACAAGTGATAGGTGCTAGACTTGTTGCGCAACGGTTTTGAGAATTGCACATATTTGACCTTGATTTACGGTAAGTCAAGTATAGGTATGCTGCCAAGGTCACTGTACTCCCATGACGGCTGTGAAGTCGGAGTTATACATTCAAATTAAATGACAAAGAGTCGAAATTACCCGGAGTTGAATATTTAGAAAGCATCAAGTTTACTAAGATGTCTCAATGCAAGTCTATTACGGTAATTGAAGTACCTTGCATATGTGATAGTTTGATATCAAAATTTGATTTTTTGAGCCGAAGTTGGAGTTAAGATTTCACAATCGCGAGTCCACAGCACTGATTTCTACATAAAAAGTTTTAATTGCCACAATGATTTTTGCTCACCTTACAGAACACTGACTGAGTAAAATTCTAAATTGATGTGCTGATGCAGAAATGTCTGTGACTCTGTCAATCATTTCCTGCACTGCATTTACAGAAGGCCATTGCTGGGCTGCATTTTTAGTTGCCGCAACAGTTCGTTTTAATGAAGTACATATTTCTGTACAATGTCCTTTAACTATATCTTGCATTTGTTGATGGTGTAACCGTCGATATAAAGTATCTCCAAAAAAGACAAGTTCGTGGGCGCAAAGAATAACTTGCTTGCTAAGTGCGACAAATGTTTTCGGCGGGTCGTTATTATCCAAACACGAGTAAAATCCTTTTATTGCTGATACAAGGCTTTCAACAAGAATTGGTAAATCTTCAACCATGTCTTGGAGAGTAAATTGGTCATTAGTTATTGAATTATTCGTGCTTGTTTTACCGTTGATAATCTTGGGGACGCCATGTTGTTTATTACTCATTTCCAAAACTTGTAACACTTCGATATGTCGCGTTTTCACCTTTATTGAAACCTCGTTGATCACGCTTGAATTGCTGTTATTGAATGTACCATCTTGTATGGTTTGACCCTGGTCGTCCAATGCAACATAATCATAATCCTCAAGCCAGGAGTCTTCATCTGGTCTTGTGATAATAGTAGTGGGAGACCGTAGCTTTTGGGGAGGTAGATCTGGTAAAGGCCTTGTTTGAATAATCTGTTGTGCTTTGTAATTCTCAAAAGCAGTTGGAGGTCGTGTCTCCACTTTCTTGAAAAGGTATTGCGAGTGTGTGTGAATGAACGCAGCTATCTGGCGAGCGTCATCTGACACAGCACGGGATGTCATAACGAAGCTATCAATCTCATCAGGGACCCCGAAGTCTGGATCATTTGATACTACTTTACCAAGGCTCCAATATGCTTGATCTAATGCAGTAAACGCTTGCTGTAACATTAAATTATCTTCTTCCAGGGGCTGCAAAAGTTTATGCATCCCTGTTATAAGAGCTCGGGGTAAAGTTACAGATAAACCTCGTTGCTGGGCTGCATTGGCATTAGCCATTGCTCCTCTTGCGAATTCAACATATTGCCCAACTGCTGATAGAACGACCTCAAAAACTCCTTTTATCACACCAATTTTGCCAGAAATGTTTTCTTTTAACCTCCAGCCTTCATAGACGTGGGTTAACAGCACCGAAACACTGTCTTCCAGAGACTGTTTCAATTTTATAAGTTGGTCAATGGCTGATGATAACTCCAGATTTAACTCCGTATAGTTGGCGTTCGCTGCAATAATACTAGAAAGAGAATCACTTGATGAAGTTGATTTACGATCATTTTTATATTCCGCTGAACCAACAAGAGATAGACGTTTGATGACGAGATCTAGCGACTCGTTCTCAGTCTGTTGTGAAGTTGATAACGGTTCTCGTGTGATTCGTGGCGGCACATCGTAAACATAGTCTTCAGATTCTTGTTTCAACAAGCTACGATTTCCGGGATGAAATTTTGAACTTGTGCTCACGCTGCTCAAATTCAAACTCCCATCTGTGACATCACCAGCTGAACGATTAGACGATGGGACATCGTAAATTAAATCCGGTGAATCAAGACGATCGGAGCTAACCACTTTCGATGAAGGAGTTGAAGCTTGATACATTGGAATCAAACCGCTATCGACCGTATCTTGGCCAAACGGACGTGACGGAGGAATATCATATTCTTCTTCGTCTTCCTCTTGTTGTACGAGCATTGCACTGACATCTAGTGGTTCAGGCCCTGACATTTTATTAGACACGGGCACGTCGTATACTTCCTCAGGCTCTAAAGACCGATTTGGTGGCACATCATAAATTTCCGAAGGATCGTACTCACTGGTTATGTTGCTTATATTCGCAGGAGCGATTAGATTAGAAGGAACATCATAGACTTCTTGTTCAATTGTAACCGTCCGATGTTGAGGTGAAGACGTTAGTAAATTTTCATTGCTCAATTGAATGTTTGATGTATGCAATGTAGCATGAACTGGTGGTACATCATATACCTCATCAGGGTCAAGATCGAGTTCCGGTCGTGACCCGAAATGCCTCGAAACCGGGACATCATAAACATCATTAGGGTCATTATTATTGTTATTCTGATTATAATACTGGTGAGTTGGAATATCGTATTCTTCATCTTCCACATTTATCAAAGGTTTTTCCAAAACAGTTTGTTGCGAAATACCTTGCATTAAGGGCATCAAGCGTAAGCGATTCCCCGGTGCAATGCCTTTCCGGCCATTCAAAGAACAAAGCCACCAACCATCAATTCCAGCAGTATTTTGCTCGATAACTGTAACAATATCTCCGCGATGGAAATTAAGTTCATCCTCTGTCTCTGCCAAATTATCATACAATGCTTTTGCAAGAATGTTGCCAGCAGTCATTTTGCAATTCAAATTTTAAAATGGATAGGATATTAAAACCTATACAATTTACATTTTAGCGAAACTATACAGAAAAAATAAGTTTTGAATGAAGTGTAAACATTTTCTTTTTAGTCCTGTAGACATGAGTAAAAAATAACGAAGAGGACAATGAAACACAACAATTTTTATTGGTCTATGTTCAGTTTAAAATATGTTTGCCATCCGTAATTTAGAACTAGAATTTAGCATAGACAGTAAGCCACAGTTCTCTGATTCCAAGATGTCCCGGCATTTAGTTTACTAAAACAATCACGCTACCGTGTTGTCTCTGAGACAAGGGTGGCGCTGCTTGATAACCAGTACAGCAGTGTCGGTACTGGTTTTCCACGTCTCCCTTACCCTGAAATATGGCCTATTTGTACGGTAATTTATTGCAATTCGTATGTTTGTGCCCACTTTCAGTATGACAGGTACCGTATGCTGGTATGGTAAAAAATAAACTTCTGGTTGTCTCTGGAACAAGGGTGACTGCGAGAGAGGAAAAAGGGCAGAGTTTGTACTGTACCAGTACAGATGTAAGCCTGTAAGTGTTAAATCAGTGAATTAGATTGGAAAAATTTCAGTGCACATCTCAGGAGATACATGACTTGTGTCGTACCAGTAACATAAGGTACCGGTACCGGTACCGGTATCGTACCGGTACTGGTGGCGAGCGTATTCCTGACACTTAGCACAGTCAGACAGTAGCATGATCCGCCACACCCTGACACTGCTGAGCTTGTAAATTATCTCCGACTCAATAGCCCTGTTTTGGAGGAAATATTTATTCTCACGAGGAGGAAGTCTTTACTATATAATCAAACAGTTCACAATCTTTCCTCTACTTCCTTTTTTCTCTGGGCAGCTAGGAGGAAGGAGATGAAAAATATGAAGCCAAATTGACAGCCACCGCCCACCGCTACCGTCAGACCGTACCGCTACCGTCAGACCGTAGACTACCGTACTGGCAGTCTATAAAGAAAGAGTACCGGTATAAGAACCGGTCGGCTGATAGACTAGTGCAGTAAAACAGACAACTAATTAACTTTCTACGGCATTTACATTACATACTTATATTCAGGCTACCGGTGTCTACTAACAGACTAACACACCAAAGGCGTGAATTTGTCCTAGACTGCTAAAAAGTGCACGAAAGTAGGAGGAAAAGCAGGCGGCCAGCGTTACTGAAATCAGCGTACAAAATCAGACTTTTAAGACTGCTCTTTAGCGAAGCCTAACGGCGACTACCTTTAATTCACTCTGGGAAAGAGAGGTCAAATCTTGTGACGGGTACGGTAACTTTTATTTACAAGGATGTTATTATTCTATGGCATAAATATCGCACTCAAGATTAACAACATGTTCAATTTTGGTTTTACTACAAAGACTTTCAACCAAGTAGCACTACTCAGTAAACCTCGGTGACAGCAATCTAAGTTTGGTCCACACAATCTGTGAACCATTCTAGTAAAGTGTTGTTGCTAACCAAAAAAATGTTGCTTAGCGCTTCAACCTTTCAAACTTTTTATATATGATAAAAAGTGTTTATAACTGTGAAAAAATTATTGCAACTAGAAAATGTAAATTGTCGAACCACTTAAAGAGGTGGCAAGTTATCATAAACTCGTATTTTTAAGTGCAATTGAATTTATGTGTTATCGTGTGTGAAAAAGTGATGTTTTTATTAAAAAAAAGTATATATAGAGTATACTACAATTCAGCTACTGAACAGTGTTAGCATACAACATTAAAATTGTGGAGAAGTGGAAATGAATGATTTACTTATTTGGCACGGTTGACAATTACCGACTTTCATACGACTCATCAGGGCATGACGACTGCTGCCAGGACCACTTTTTGGGGGGATGCTGCGATTTTGCAGTGTATTCGCATGTGGTTGGGCGGTAGATGATCCAAGAGATGCTGTACTAGAGATGCTGTAGGTTTTTTGTAATATGTCAGTGTTTTAAGGTACACGATAGACTAGTTTGACACGATATCCGGTCCTCTGACGATACTGCAGTACCGGTATGAGTGCACCACTAGCAGGTACGGTACCGGTACTCAACCCAAACGACAAATAGACCGTGGTACTGTGCATGCAACTTAACATAAGTTAAGTAAGTATTAGATTTATAATAATAAAAAGACTGTTGAAGCAACATTTACGCACAGCGAACTTTTCGAAGCAGGTACAATGGTTGAGACTACGGGAAATCCCGGGATTTGGACTGTTTTTTTCAATCCGCATTCCGCAATTATTTCCAAAAAATCCCGGGATTATAAGATTTTGTTATCCACATATAGATATTCTCACAAATGGTTGGGTATACCATTTTATTTAATACTTATTTTGAAAAATAACCATTCACGCTTACAGTTTGAGTGGAAGTGGAATTATTGTGCGAAATTTTTCGCAAATTGTACAAAGAAATTATTATTTGACTAGTAGAATTGCCATTATTGCCGACTTATTTTATCATAATTTGAACTCAAAATAGCATTTAGTATTCACGCAATGACTTTGCTGGGCTTTTATTCACTATTTAATACGTAAATAAAACAATCACACTTTTGAAAAGTAAAATCAAAAAGGTCTTCATAAATATCCGCATTCCGCCGTCAGAAATGATAATATATTTGGCTTAAAATTGGGACGGTTAATTTACAAACGATGACAAGAAAGATCAAAGGCGACTCAGAAGGTAAAAATCGGAATAAAACCCCCAATTCAACCCGATTTTCGACAATTATTCGATTTCGACAAATTATTCGATTCGATGAAAATATACTATTTTGACCACCCTTGTGATCTGTAATCATGCCAGTAATCTGGCGAAACGCGAGGTAATCCAAACACTGATGCAATGAAACTTAATAAAACCTTCATAAATGTAGTAAATTGCACTACTTCACGAAAGCGTGGTGGAATGGACAATTATTTCATATATCGAACACAAAAATGGTTATCTTTTTCGGATAGTTTCTGCGGTCTGTAAAGTCGAAAAAGCGTTTCGACATAGTAAATGATATGATCTTTGCCATCAAATTATGCTCGGGCCTTGCACACGAAATTCATAACGTGAAATGATACGTATAGCTGTGAAAATTGTTTATAACAACTTTAAACCTATTTAGTATTTTAAGGCTTTAAGCGATAATAATTAATTGTTGTAATGAAATACAGTTTGTTTGCCACTTTAATTTCTCTCGCGACTGCCGACAATAACACGAAAATAATTTTGGCAATGGGAGAAACATTGAATTGTAACAAAAATGAATTAGGTTGTGAAAAAGTGAGAACACATGCGATAATAATAAGGGCGTAACGTTGAAGGGCGTGCAAAACCGAAGCGCGTGGTCAGCGGTGCGTTAGAAGAGACCGTATTATAAGTAAGGCCGCGCAACTTTTACAATAATGTGAGGTGCTCCGAAGACGCTCTCGTTTACATTAATGTAAGAAAACAGTTCTAATATCGGTAACTATTAACCATTTTTCGCGTTCGACTATCGCACTCTTAATGGCTAGTAAATATTCGAGTTTTGTGATAGGTGTGCCGCTAATGTTCAAAGAGCTAAATAGTGTGCCACGATAAGAAAAAAGGGTTGGGAACTGTCCTAGATGCTCTAATACTTCTGCTCCGATATTACATGAAATAAATACCGGTACGTGATTTTATTGCATGCAAGTTGTTTAAATTTTGATTGCGGTAATTGCCAACATTGTCTCCGAAATGAAGATTTCCATCATAAAATTACGACGTAGAAGAATACGTCACAGATATACCATTTTGAACACTTACAATTCAAACACACAGAAAAACTGACAAAGTAAAACACCACCGATTTTGTGGATGTAGGATATATTTGTACCAATTCAAGCATTTAAAAGAGGCACGAGTAAAACATCTACTTTCACGAAAAACTGAAATTGTTTTGTTGCTCATCCCAGTCGTCGTCATCTTCGTTTCCCTCCATATTGTCTGCAAAAGTATAGTTAAAACAAACATATAAGTAGCCTACTTAGTCATGTGTGGCGTGACCTAATGTTAACATTTGTATTGCTTTTTCGTGTTATGTAGGATTAAAGGTAACGTGCACTGGAGTGGGCGGAATAAAAACCTTGAATGCACATAAATATATTTCAATTCGATAAGTTCCAATTCTTTGAATTGACTCCGAGCACCACTGCGTAATAGACCACGATGCAGGTCACTTTACTGCTGTTCCGCTGCGGAGTTTGATTGCACTAATTTTTACCGGCTTTAATCCGTTTCTCATAGCCATGGTATAGAAATATTCACAGTAGTTATTTAACTTAAACCTCATGTATGGCATAGCAGCATATGGAATCTTCTGAAAGTGGTATTAACTTGGATATCATCAAACGATTTCGATGTGTATGGCCGTGCCCGTACCACTCATGTTACTGAGCGACACTGGAGTCAGACCAAACTCTTCCAAATAAGACGAATAGAATACTCTTTTCGCGCGAGTTGAAAATATTATTACTTCGACTGTCGACTCAGCGTTGGCGAAATTTACCACATGTCTATTTGTTGATATTATCGCGTTTAAATATTTTGTACGATTCACAGTCAACACATTTAAAAAAAGTTTCTGTAATAAATTTATTTTTATAACCCTCAACTAATTCGTGATTATGATATTGCCCTTGACATATTTTACACACTTGTTTACAAAATCTTGAGATGTCACATGATCACATTGTGCATTTTGGGAATTTCGTTTCGTCGTTTCGAATTTCTGTGCAAAATACTTCATGCTTCAAACTTCAATATATATATTATATATATATAATCATAGACAAGCATCCAAATTGGCTATTGCCGTACATACAAATTATATTTTACCACCAATACGACGGCGAAGCCAAGCTTTTAGCTCCTTCTCAGGTACATTTCTAATCCTCGCTAGCCATTTCAGCCACGATCCGCTATTCTTGTCCTTTGCTCGGGATCTGGAATGAATTAAATAATATGCAATTGAACAATGTTAAAATTCATTTGTACTGTTTGATCAGTTTGAAATAAGATAGCATGAGATGGCGACATTTCCCATATTCAACTCTAAGAACTCGACGGTTCATTGACTCATTTCAGGTAAACGTAGATGTCCAACTGGATAATTTTAATACAATTCCCTATATTTAGAACCTTTCCAATAGATATAAGATTGGAACTAGTGAATGGACTAAAAAGCTATGGTTCGCCATGTATTTGAGCCGCTCAGTGAATTCCCTTCTTTGTGATGAAAAATGGAATATCCGTCTCTCTCCCTACCTGTCCTATCAATACCTCAATGGGTCCCTAACAT